CGGTCCAACAACTGCAGGTCTTGTTGCAAATTCTCCATCTTGAAAGTGGAAGAATTAGCCATCGGGGCGGGCAGGGGGAAGGGCGGGGGGAGGAAGGGGGGGAGGGAGGGAGGAAGGGAGGGAGGGGCCTCGGATGAGTACGAAGGAGGGGGGGCAGTGGAGATCAGGGGGGCGATGGGTGGAGGAAGTGGAAGAGGAGGAGGAGGTGGTGGAGGAGGCGGCGGGGGAGGGAGAGAACCGTTCAGGTAGCCCGACGGGAGGCCAACGTCGCCGACGACCGACGCCAGCCGCCGACGTTCCTCCACGCGCCGGTGCTTCCCTTGGAGCTGGGCCCATTTGTTCAGGCAATGGATCCGTGAGCGGGTGGAGTGCAGGCGGGAGGCCACCTCAGTCCAATTGATCCCCTCCCGGGGCAGCTCGGCCAGGGGGGTGGAGCGGGGTCGATGCAGGTAGTCACACACCGCGTGGATGAACTGATCCTCCTCCTCCTTGCTCCACCTTCCCGAGGTCCGGCGAGGGGGGAGAGGCGTCCCGTCCTCCGCTGCTCCCGACTTTTTCTCACCTTCCTCCCCCCCTGACTCCTCCCCCGTGATGGGGAGGGAAGGCCGGGCGCCTGAAGGGGCCCAAAGCGGCGAGGTCCGCCTTTCCCCCTTCCCCTCCTTCCTCGCGTCTCCCTGCCTCTGACGCCTCCTTTGCACCCCTCCCCACCGTCCCCTCACCTTCCCGCCGACTCTCCTTCCCTTCCTTCCTCCTCACGCCTCTTCCCTCCCCCTCCCTCGGCACCTGCCCCCGCCCCGTCTTCACCCCCTCCTTTCCCCCTTCTTCCCCCCTTCCTCCGCCCCTTCCTCCGCCGACGAGGAGGAAGAGGAGGGCACGGAGGAGGAGGAGGAAGAGAGCAACGGCACCCTCCTTCCCAAGTCTCCCTCCGCACTCCCGCCCGCCCCTTCCTCCCCGCCCCCCCCCCGCCCCTTCCCTCCTTCCCCGCCTCCTCCCCTTCCACCGCCGTCGGCGGCCCCCGCGCCTCCTCCGGGTACCCTTCCGCCCCCTTCCTTGCCCATGCCTTGGCCGCCCACCCCGTCGCCAGCTCCCTGTGCTTGTCTCTACAGGCGTCAGCGGAGCGGTTCAACACCTCCTGGAACTTGACCCACTTCTGGCCGCGCACCTCCACCAGCTCCATCAGCTTCCGTTCCTCCTCCTCCGTCCATTTCCCCCGCTTGAAGGAGTGCAGTTTCCTTAAGCCGTGCCGGTAGACGGCTTGGACGGTCCGGTTCGGGAGCACCTTGGCGATTTTCAACCAGGCGCCTTTCAAGTCGCCCCGGTGAGCATTCTCCGAGCACAGGCGGTGCACGCTCACGTCGTGGGCCTCGCAATACTCTTGGACCGCGTGCAAAATCGCCTGCGATTCGCTTTTGCTGAATTTCCCCGTCTTAATGGGAAGGGCCTCGGTGTCCGCAGCAGTTGGAAGGGCCGGGGGGGCATTCCAGGCTTGAGAGGGCGACGGTCGGGGACCAGGGGGCATGGTGCCTGGTCCAGAGCCAGCCGCGTGGGGGTAGTGAGGATTCATCGTAGAAAGAGCGGGTGCGTACATGGAGCCGCCATTGTAAGGGCCAGGGGGAAGCTGGGTTGCAGACATCGGGGCGCAGGGCCCCATTCCGGGAGGGAGGTGGTGAGGGTGGTAAGGATGGTGGGCGGGCGGAGCTTGCATGGGATGGACAGGCGGCGGTGCGTGCAACGACACATGGTGATGGTGGTGCTCGGAGGGAAACGCGGCGCTCGATATCTGAGGCATGGAGGCTGGAGGAGGGGAGGGGATGGGTAGAGGTTCGAGGACGAGGGGGGACTGCTCGGCTGCTTCACCCTCTCCTTCCTCCTTCTCCACCCCGGCATCTCCGTTTTTCTCATGGCCATCGTTGTTGTCGGGGGCCTGCGAGATGTTTGATTGGCTTCTCTGTGCTTCTTCCGTTTGGGGAGTCAAGTCTGGCGGCAAGCTCCCAGGCACGTTTAACTCGTAGAAGGAGTGTGCTCTCTCAGCCTCGAGACTTGATAAAGTCGTCCGCCGACTCATGACCGCGTTGTACGAATGGCGCAGAAACGCCTGTACATAAGTGCATGCACAGGAAAGCAAGTGAACGGGGGGGGCATCCTAGTCATGGTCAGAAGGAAAAGTCGCCTTCGCTTCCAAGCCAGAGGCTCGGGAACGAAAATGAAGGCCCAACTCACCCGGCAAAGTTTATGTCCGGGTGACTTAATATAATATAATATATATGGCACAACGATGGAAGCGCAAGCCTCCCGGATTCGCGAGGATGACGCACGGTTAGAGACAAAGTCGCACGGCAGGGAGATATGGTGGGGAATCTGAAGCACATTGAACGCAAGAAAGGGTTTTAATATCTCGTCGTGCGGGATATATTCGCACCAAACGCAACCTGGGAAAGAGAATGGAGTTTGCGTGCAGCTTAGGTTCCTGACACCACAGACTTCATTGCACAATCGTATGGCATGTGACACTCATGTTGAAAAGCAATAAGAAGGCTTTGTCAGGTGAGGTGGCAGTTCTACGAATCAATTTGACTCTTGTCCCGTCTGAGACGATACTTGAGGGTCTCGCTTTGCATCGGGGAAATCCTTTTTTTTTCACCTTACATGTATTCTTGCCACAGCAAACTTGCCAACCCACCGCCAGCTTAAGGTGTTGAGGCTGTTGTTGTGCGTGCACATTTCAATGGAAATAATAAGACCAATTAAGTCCGGGAAAAAAAACTATATTTCACCCGGAAAATACATCATTCGTCTCTTCAAAATTTTATCACTCCATCCCTTTTTTGTTCTTTCATATTGAGTTCACCGAGAAATTAAAGCGAGGATCTTAACCATAATATACACACTTCTGCTGTTGCTTGTGCATTCATGATTTTATCTGTCGTGGTTGTGGCAGTAAAATCCGTACTGCTACCTATCGACAGCCCTCGCAGTGCATACTGCACTGCTGTGCTCACACACGTACAGTGATACCTTTGAACACCCGTGTTTTCTTGTCGTTGCCTGTACTTTCATGCTCCTAGACGGGCATTACTTCGTCCACACGCATGCTGCTGTCATTGCCCTTACTTCCCAACGACCCAATGTGTCTCAAACCCCCCAAATAATGTCTGCCTTGGCCTGCACCGGCTCGTGCTTTTATCCGCGGCCCCCAAGGCTCACGTGAAAGGGACCGGAGGGACTCTGCACGGGCACAAGCCATCCGATCGCGCCGAGCATCACACGGTCAGCGCCCCCTTTCGACACACGGTCAGCGCCCCCTTTCGTCACACGATGCGCGCGTCGCTCCGTGCGCCTGCCCGGTGGATACGGTCGATTTTTCCCTTTTCTGCACGTGCAGCGCTACCCGCATTTCACTCTCCTTTTACGTTAAGGTCATTCACTCCGCTTGCATCCATCTCCATCGTACTAAATAAGTAGAATACCATGTGAAACCGCACATGTACACACGTTCAAACGCAACCCCCCTTTGTCTTTCCTTCCCTCCTCCTCTACCGTTCTTCTCTTCCCAAGTGAGACTATAGCGTCCCACTCTCCTCCTGCCTGTCCTCCCTCTCCATCATGTAGGTGGAGAGAGAGCCCTTACAGACAAAATCCCTCAGGCCCTTTCCACACGCCTCCGTGTGGATACTCCGCGTTCCGGGGAACACCCAGCCACCGGCATTCATCCCGCCTCTCTCTCCCTCCCCTCGTTCTTTAAACGTGGCTCCCCGCCATTTGCACTGCCGACGACTCCGCCTCCAGCCTTTCCTTCCCATGCTCGGGCCCTTCCACCGTCCTCCCTGCCCCCCCGCCTTCGCCTTCGCCCGCCACGGGCGGCAACGAGTCGAAGGAGGCCCCCGTGGCAATGCAAGGAATGGCCAACACGCAGGAAGCAATGCTTTCGCGACACACAGGGCATGCCGGGGGCGACGGGGATTTCTGGAGCCAGGGTTTGAGGCAGTTCCCGTGGAAGAGGTGGCCGCAGGGTCGCAATTGAGTGTCCACGCTCAAGGTCGGGCAAAAGGGGCAGCGGGCCCCCGTCGAGACGTGCACAGGCTCCGAAGAGGGGGGGGAGGCCGGGCGGGCAGACGCGTGTGAGTCAGGCCCGGACGGAGGCGGCTGGTGGTGCTGGTAATACTGCTCCATCATCACCTCTTGCAAGGTCGGCGATCGGCTCAAGCCTCCCTTGCCAACCCCACCCTCCCTCCCAACGCCTTCCCCACTGGGTCCTGGCCCCCCACCAATGCTTTCTCCCTCCCCCCTCCCTCCCAAGGAGGAAGAAACCTGCTCCATTCCCGGCGCACCCCCCTCGGGAGGATGAGGGAAGGAGACCCCGCTGGTGCCCATCACGGCCCCGGACGGGACCACATTCCCGTGGCTCCCCACCTTGAAAAAAGCGTGGTAGACAGGCCCCGCCCCACCCCCCGCGTGCAGGGGAGAGCCGGACCTGCTCCTAGGAGAGTGGCTTCCGGAGGAGGGCCTCGAGCCAGGCAGGTGCAGTGCTGGAAGTGGCACATGAGGAGGCCGTTCCCCGCCCTCCGTCCCGCCCTCCGACCCCACCTGCGCTTCCAGCATGGGCGTGGGGGAGAAGGACTCGTAGCCTCCTTGCCCCTGCTCGCGTGCCTGACGCTTCATCCTGGAGGAGTTCGCGCCTGCGGCTGGCTCCTCTTCCCCCACCGACACGCTGGAGATGCCCCGCTTTACGCCCCCCCCCAGGCCGGGGCCCTGCATCGTCGCCGTGCCCGTCGTTCCGCCCAGAACCATGTCGTCGTCCATGGACAACCCGATGTTCTCCTCCCTCCCTCCCCCCCTTCCCTCCCTCCCGCCCTCCCCCTCCTCCCAAGCCGTCCAAGCCGTCGTCATTGAAAAACACTTCCAGGAACGCGTACGAATCCGTTCGCGGAAAATCACTCAAGGACGAACTCGTCCGAAAATTCCCGAAACTCCGAGAAGAAAACGTTTTCATCAGCGCCGGTTGGCCTCCTTCCTTCCCAGCCGCATTCAGGGGGCTGTTGCTCCCATCCCCGAGAAAATTCTTGAAAAAAATCCTCCACGCTCGCAAAGCCACTCAAGGTGCCCAGCGACCCCATGGTCGTCATTCCTCCCCCGCCTCCCCCCGTGGTCGCGCTTGGGGGCTGCTGTGGCGGCGGCGGCAGGCCCGAGCTTGTGTGGCGTGGATAAAACACGCCCGTTCCCGACCCTTTCCCCCCCCCCATCCCGGCAACAGGCATGTGCCCCCCCCCCCATCGGATGCTCGCTCAGCAGGTGGTGTTGCTGGTGCTGCCGGGATGAGAAAGCCACCGCGGCGGCGGCGGCCGCCTCGGCGGCACTGGGGGAGATCGGGGAAGACGTATGGAGCTGCTGCTGACCCGACCGGTAGAGTCGGGGAGAAAACGGTTCGGGCGAAGCGGCCGCGCTCCGGCTGGTAAAACTGTCGAGGGCGCTGTGGTTGTGGAGGGGGGGGCTGCCCAAACCCATCCCGGAAGGGGATAGGGGGGAGGGTGATCGGGCAAGGGCCCCGGAGGGATGGTAGTGGGGCGGGAGCTGCAGGCTCCCAGGGGCCAACCCCCCCCGCGCGGTGGAGGACGAAGGGGAAGGTGGCAAGCCTGCTCCATTCCCCACACCTCCCCCGTCCAATCCCGCCCCTCCTCCTCGCGAGACACGCCCCGGACCCCCCGATTCGTCCGTCTGACGCCGCAGCATTGGTTTCCAAATGCGTCGGCGCGCGTTCGTGAACCAATTTTTCAACTGCTTCTTGTCGATGCCCGTCGCCGCCATCAACGCCACTTGGTCCTGTGCCGTTGGGTAGGGATGGGCGATGTGCTCGGGGGAAAGCAGCCAGCCTTTCAAAGTGGCCACCGCCCCGTTGGGCAATTCCCGCCGTGATTTTTTCGCGCATTTTTTCCCAGGCCCACTGCCCCCTTCCCCTTCCATAAAATCGTCCATGTCGTAGTATTGGAGGTCCTGTGGCTGGGCGTGCGCGGCTTTGCCACCGCTATTGCTGTTGCTTCCCCCCGATCGCGCCTGTTTCCCGCCCTTGGGCCCTCGCCGTCCTCCCTGACTACCTCCACTTATCACACTCGCGTTCGAGCCCTGCCCCAAGCCCCGCAACCCTCCCTCCTCTTCCCCCTCCCGGAGCGAATGACGGCCTCGGGTTTCCCGCCGGCTTCGCCGCCGTTCGACGCCCGCCGTGGGAACCTCCTCCGCCCTAGGCTTAAGATCCACCTCCGGTCTCGGCTCCTCCTCCCCTCCTCCTCCTCCCGGCCCACACCAAAGTCACCACTTGCCTGGCTGCCGTCCTCGTCCTCTTCCGTCTCTGCGTGCCCATCCTCCTTTTCTTTGGCGTCGCCGTAATTCAGCATGTCGTCGTCGACCCTCCTGTCGCCGTAATTCAGCATGTCGTCGTCGACCCTCCGGCCCACCTTGCCGTCCTCGCCCCTCGCCTGGTCCCCCTCACATTCTTCCCCTCCCTTGCTCCACCGACGCAGCGCTCCCGCGTCTTCTCCTGCTCCTTCCGACCTCCCCCGAACGCCGTTCCCTGTGGGCGATAGTGGCGACGTGGACATACGCTGACAAGCCTCCCAAGCTCCCTGCAAAGACCCTAACAATCCGAGCGCTTCGCGTGCCCTCAGAGGGGA